TCAACAAACAAAACACTTGGCGATCAAGAGGAGGAACACAGTGAAGGAGAACACAGGTGCGGTGTTCTGCCTCGGGTCAAGTCCTGAAAAGAGTGTGGGAACGAGGTATTACTAACTTTGAGCCATTAAAAATTTTATTTTCATTCTGTTTTCATCTACATATATTCAGAAACAAGGAGTATTTATGAAAAAACTATCCTGTTATATATTCATATAAAAGAGAGTTACTTGTAATGTATGAGAAGACAGGACTTCATTCCTTAATGCTTAGACATTAGTTGTATTCTTCTAGCTCCTATATTACAGAATTAGTGACCAACACCTCATAATCCACCTTCAATTGACAAGTAAGAATCTCTCTTCAATCCACAAACAAAATCCACCAATCAACAAATAAGAATCCACCTTCAATTGACAAGCAAGAATCTATCTGTATTGCCTAGCATATGCAAGATCGGTGGCTTGACTCTTAACAATACAAAAATAGAAAAAAAGAAAAATCATCCCTAGCAAATTATTTTTATTATTTATTTCTTTATTCATTTTATACGTATGAGCGTTTTGCCTACAGGTAAGTACACCCATGTCATGCAATTCTTGCATCCCATGGAACTGGAGTTTTGGATGGTTATTAGCCACCATGTGGAAGCTGGGAACTGAACCCAGATCTGCAAGAGCAGCCAGGGTTCTTACCTGCTAAGTCACTTCTCTAGGACCTCAGACAAATAATTTAATTTAAAAACATTCTGCCTAAATTTCTGCAATTCATTGATCAAAAGGCAAAATGAGCTTAAATAATGTATATGGACAAAACAACTTCTGTACCTGTTAATACTTAAGTTACTAAATGTGAAGTCTCTATTTTACCCCCTTGCACTGCTATGACAAATGAAAATGGTTAGATGAGAAACTATTTCTACAGAATGATGATCACCTTTTGCCAGCTAGTTATTTGACAAGGACAAACACTCAGAATACATAAGGAACTCAAGAAATTAAACACAAATTCATCCAATCATGTAACAGCATGGACAAGACCCATGCAAAGTCAAACTAGACAAAAACCTAGTACGGAGCTGGGGAAATGAGTAAGAAATTCCGATCTTAGCTAAGGAACTGTTGGTACCTGATCACTGTTGGGTGAAGGAGAGTTGGTCTTCTTTAAGGGAGTGATGCTGGATAGGCTGATCAGGCTCCAGTGGATGAACTCCCACTGAAGGACATCTGGGGACAGAAACCTGATTCCATAGGCCTTAACATACATGACAGAATGCATAAAAGCTGGGGAGGGGGTGTTAGAGGAGGTGCAAATAGGAGAAGGGGGTCTAAATTATCAAGGTGTATTTTATGAAATGCACAAACATGCAACAAAAAATATATTTTAAAAAACAGACTAATGGACTAGATTATAAAAGCAAAATCTCTATGTTGTCTGCAAGAAATACACATAGCTAGCAAAAATACCAGCAAACTCACTACCAAAAGATGGTAAACAAACTATCAAACGAATGGAAATCATAAATAAGCAGTTGTAGCTATCCTTGTATCAGGAAAACTTCAAACCAAAACTAATTAGATGAGATCAAGCAGACCACTACATATCAATAAAGGGAAAAATTCAGGATGATATAAAAGTATAAAAGACCACATAGGTCCTGATATATAATAGTGGGGAACTTCAATACCCCATTCTCACATTTAGATAGGTGTTCCAAACTAAAAACAAGTGAATAAACTTCAGAGCTAAAACACACTATTCATCAACTGAACTATACACACACACACACACACACACATGTGCACGCACACGTGCACAAAACCTAATAGATTGGGAATAAAAATTTTCTTCAGCAACACATGGAACCTTCATCAAAACTGATCATATCATATGACACAAATCAAGTCTCAAAAAAAAAAAAAAATTGAGATAGCTCGACCACAATGCAATGAAAGAAAGCTAGAGAAACTACAGAAACGGCAAAAACATTTGGCAACTAAATAATACCTTTTTGAATGAACAGACAGCCATCCAAGAAATCAGAGAGGACAGTAAAAATTCCTACAGATAAATGATAATGAGAACATAGCTTATTAGTACCTCTAGACTACGGCCAAGGCAGTCCCAAGAGTTAAGTTTATAGAGAGAAGCACTCACATTTAAAAAAAAAAAAAAAAAACCTGAAAGATATGAAATAAACAATCCAATGATGCATCTCAAGACTCTTGAAAGATAACAAGTAGCCAATCCAAAACCCTGTAGATGGCAAGAAATAACAAAGATTAGGGACAAAAATAATGAAATATAGACTAAAAGAACAATACACAAAATCAACACAGGAGTTGGATCTTTGAAAAAGTAAGATCAACAAGCCCTTGGTCAATCCGATGTTAAAAAAGAGGAAGAAGACAATAACTAGAGATCAAAAGGGTGTCATTACAAAGAGTCCAATGAAATACAGAACATTATAACAGAATACTTTGAAAAGTTATATTCTAAACAGCTAGAAAACCTAGAAGAATTTTTAGGAAGATCTCATACCAATTCTTCTTAACTACTTACACAAAATAGAAAGTGGAGGAACATTACCAAATTCATTCTATAAAGCTGGCATTATTATAATACCAAAACCAGGTTAAGACACAACCCAAAAGAAAACTACAGTTCAATTCCTTTGATGAGCAAAGGTGCAAAACATTTCTAAAAAATCCTTGGAAATCAAATTCAGGAACACATTAAGAAGATCATACATTATGACCACATAAACAGACTTGTGTACAGAAACCACATAATCATCTCCATTAGTGCCAAAAAGACATTTGACAAAGTTCAACGTGCCTTCATGATAAAGTCCTGAAGACGTTGACCCACCTCAACACAGCAAAGGTTCCTAGTGCCAACATTATAACAAATGGAGACAAACTGAGAGTATTTCCGCTAAAACCAGGAACAAGGCAAGGGTGCCCACTCTGCTTCTCTCATTTAATTCTGTTGCTTGAAATTTTAGCTACAGCAATTAAACAAGAGAAAGACATAAAGGGGATACAAATAGGAAAGGAAGAAGTTAAACTATCCCTATTTAGAGATGACAAGATTCTATACTTATGAATAGCCAAAGCTATGCCAGAATAAGAACACAGTGAGAGGTATCACAACTGACCTCAAATTACACTACAGAGCAATAGTGATAAAGAGAGCATGGCTAGACAGGGAGACCAATGGAACAGAATAGAGAACCCTGAAATAAACCAACAAAGCTATGTCCACTTAATTCTTGACAAAGGATGGGCAAAAACATACACTGGTAAATAGCCTATTCAAGAAATGATCCTGGCAAAATTGGATATCCACCTGCAGAAGAATGAAATTGGATTCTTATCTTTCACCTTGTACAAGAATAATCTGAAATGGATCAAAGACCTTAATTTAAAACCTGAAAATGCTGCAACTTCTATGATGTAAACATAGGGAAAACTCTTTAACACACTGGGGTAGGCAAGAACTTTCTGAACAGAACTTCAGTAACACAGGAATTATTTGCAGAGGACACAGACAGCCCACAGAATGGGAGAGAAAACTTTACCAGCTATAATTCAGGGGTTAATATCCAGAATTTACAAAGAACAGCAGAAATTAAATACCAAGGAAATGAAACTGCCAATTAACAAAGGGCTAATGAAATGAACAGACAGTCTTCAGAAAAAGAAACACAAATGGCCAGTAACTATTTAAGAAAATAGTTCAACATCAATAGCCATCAAGGAAATGCAAATTAAAACTACCCTAGTCAGAATGACTATTATTATGAAATCCTACAGCAAAAGTTGGAGAGGATGTACAGACAGGGGCACTCTTATTCACTGCTGGTAGAAGTCTAAGTTAATACAGCCATTATGGAAATCAGTTTGGAGGCCCTCAAAAAATTAAAAAGTGAACTACCAAACAATTCCACTATCTCATTCCTGGGTGTCTACCCAGAGAACCCCATACCCTACCATGGAGATATTTGTACCCCTATATTTACTACTATTGCTATTATTATTATTACTATTATTATTCACTATTGCAGGGAAATATAACCAATCTAGATGTATAGTAACAGAATGATGAAAATCTGGTACATATATAAAGTGGGATATTATTCAGCTCTAAAGAAAAATGAAGCTGGGTGTGGTGGCACATGCCATTAGTCCCAGCATTCCAAAGGCAGAGGCAGATGCCAGCCTGGTTTACATAGCAAGGGCAGGCAACCTGGGACTACAGGGAGACCCTGTCTCAAGAAGAAACAAACAAACCAAAAAAAAAAAAAAAAAAAAGAAGAAGAAGAAGAAGAAAATTAAACCACAAAATTTGCAGGAAAATGGACTTAGAATGTGTAATACTAAGTGAGGTTATCCAATTTCAGAGAAAAAAACCCAGGCGTTCTCCTTCATATGCCTATAATGTATACATGTATATACATAAACAGATGTACATATGGGTATACTAGAACATTTAGGATGGTGAAAAAGAAAGGGTCACGTTAGATGATGAGGAAGAACAGAATGTAGGTAGAAGACACCTGAATCATGAAAGAGGATGTAAAGCTAATTGTTTTTCTAGTTTTAACTCTGTCACAGTTTTTCTTTTCTGTGTATGGTGAACAGGTATGTAAAAATGTAGCTGATGGTGAACAGTGTAAAACTCAAGCGAAGCTCCAGGGCTTCAGCATGGCCACTTTGACTGCATATATGTTTACTGAGATATGCAGTTTTGGACTTGGCAAGTGTTTGAGTAGCTATGCTAAAGGAGCTGTGTGAACTTTTTATTTGTGAGTTCATTACAATAAAGTGATTTCTGTATTTAAAAAATAGTAAAATAATTTTGTTTAAAAAAAAAAGAAGACTGACACAGAGAAATTTAAGTATATTAGTCAATGTTATCCAGGATAAATATTGTCTTCCCAATCTGAAAAGCCTGTCAATGCACAGCACCAAAAGAAAAGATGACTTTGGTCACTTACCGAAAGGTGGCAGATCCTTCACCGGTACTTTCTTTCGTGAAGGGTAAAGGGACACAGCAGGAACCTGCAGTCCCTGGCCGCCTTTATGTGCTGGCTGCGGCTGCGGCTGCTGAGGCTGTGCTTTCTGCTGTGACCCTGCTCGTGGAGCCACTGGGGAGGTCTCAGACTTGACTGGCTTTTTGTCACCAGGATTCTTGGGCACTGGTAATTGTTTAGAGTGAAAAGAGAACACAGAGCCAAAGGTGTCAGGAAGTAAGTGGAGAGGACCTGGAGCATGTGCAACGCTCCTCAACATGCACATCTCCTTCTTTTGTTCTCCTTTGGCCTTATCAAGAACAGAAAGGGAGTGAACAACCCTAGTTACAGAAACTGTGAGACTTGTGGCAGGACAAAGATATTTACCTTATGAAATAAGTAATCCCCCAAAGAGGATTATGCTGCTAACACCAATTAAAAAATAAAAAGGAGGACACTTTCAGTGTTATGTAGATGTATATTAAAAACATAAATATATGGCTGGCAAGATGGCTCAGATGGTAAAAGCCCTTGCTGCCAAGCCTGATGAGCAAAGTTTGATTCCCAGAATCTACATGGTGTTAGGAGAGAACAAGTTGTCCTCTGACCCCCACATATGCACCATAGCATGTGCGCCTCCATTCCACAAAAGTAAATAAAAGTTAAAAAAAACATTACAGACAAATATATGGTCAAAATTACAACAGGAAAATCAAGAATTGCTTTAAAATGGCTGCAAAACTCTGCCACATCTGAGATAACACTATTAACTATAATCTATTTAATATAATCAAATCTTCCTAGGGTGGAGAATTCTCTCTAAGTCAACATACCCAATGCTGCTTAAGTATTGTACTGAGGTCAACTCCATGGTAGACAGAAGAGCTAGTTTACAGGACTAGTCCTATACGAGTATCCATTATCCAGAGCACTCAACAACACAACACATGCAGAATCCAAGGTCTGGGACACTCAAGCGCCCCACGGATAGTGTGGTCAGATTTTTATTTTTTGGTTTTAATAGACATGTCATTATGCTGACAGGCTGGCAACCTGAAACTCTGGGCTCAAGCCATTCTCCTGCCTCTGTCTCTGGCCAGTTAATTCAAGGCTGGAAACATATACAACAGGCTAAGTTGCAGTTTGATGTTTTAGTAGGCGGCTGCTGGATGCTGTCTGGGTGGGGATACACCCAGCAGCCAGTACACCCAGTTCTGTGTTTCTCTGACCTGGTGATCCCTAACGAGGTTGCCCATCAGTTTGGGAAAACTTCTGTGAGAAGATGGTATGCCAGCTGGAGGCTTAGGCACCCCCATGTCCCCTGCACATACACTGGCTGTGCCAGATGAAGCCAGAGTAAGCAGCATGAGCCCAGTGTCACCTGCTTATACTAACGTGACTGGATGTGAAGGCCCGGCCAAGTACAGACACAGGCCAGTGTGCCTCAGGCCCCTGCCATCGCACAGGGACAGTCCGCACAGGGACAGTCTGCACCCCAGGGTCTGCAGCTGGTTTACGGAGACACTCACATGTGCTAGTTGCTGGCTCACACTGTAGCGACAGCGTCTGAAGACTCTCCTCATCCATCTCCAGCTCCAGGTTCGACAGGTACTGCTTCACCTTCCGAGCCATTTGGGCTTCTTCATAAAGCTTTTTGGCATTGAGAAAGGAACTCCGACGTACCCGCTTTTTATGCCCACCTGTCTGAGCGACATCTAACACTGTGGCATTCGCACTACCCTGGCTCAGCGACCTGCAGGACAAAGAGGAGACTGCAACTCATGCAAGCACCGTATGAGCTATCTACTCTGAACTGCCAGGCTGTGTAAATACTCTACGTTTGAAAGGTCACACGCCTCATTCCAGTAAGCAAACTGTTACAGGAGAATGCAGAATGATATAGATTACAAAAGTTTTGGTTCAGAAACCATATAATACGCTCATATATAAATATATGTTTGGCACATGTTCTGCTTCAACTAGTCAATTTCCACTTTTCACCTCGCAGAGCATTCAAGTCCGTTCTCTCATAGAAGCCAGCAGACATAATTGTACATAAAAGCTCATGCAAGGATACTCAGCTACCACAGTGACAATTTATGTGATTAAATTTGCTGCCCCCCAAAAGGATGTGTTATACAGATCTAGCTAAACTCAGCTACAATGCTCCCAATTATTTTTTTAAAATGTGGGTAGAATGTGGTAAGTTTTTAAAGTAATGTGGTAAATCTGTTAATACAACAGTCATGCAAATGTAAACAAATGTAGGGAAACCATTGAGCACATGAATTGTTAAGAATTATTTTTAAAAAGTACTGATTTATATAGAAGGAAAATAGTAGTTAGTTGAGCTGTAGAAAATTTGGTTTTAATGCATGGGGTGCCTCACAGCACACAGATCTACTTTTATGTACTTGTACAATAGTATTTTAATTGCACATTTTTTTCCTTCTAAGATCACCCCACCCATGTTGGTTTTTTTCTTTTTATTTCAAAACACACAAAACATATTAAAATGCAATCATTATGACAGTCAAGAAATATGTCTGATCTATTTCTCAGAATAATCACTCATCATTTTACAGCTCTTGTGGACCTGACTTCAGCAAAGCCAAGATTACACTTGAAGTCAGTTTGCATCTGAAATTCTGCTAGAGCAAGAGGGTTAAGAAAAAAAATCTCTGCGAGACTGAGGCTACCCTGGTTCACATTGTGACTTCCAGGTTGGCTGTGACTAGGGATAAAAAAAAAAAAAAAAAAAAAAAAAAGCAAAAAGTGCAAAGCGTCAGAAAACAAAGCAGGTAAGAAAACAATGCAACAGGCTGAGCTTTGCGCACTTACCCCAAACTCCGCCACTTCTTCTTCCTGTATACAAGTGAGAGCCATGGAGATTGAAGCACGGGGTAGAAAGAGACAGAGATCACAGCTCAGAAAGCAAGGACCAGACTTCTGGACAGGCAGTTCTAAAGCCCACAAACAGTAAACTGCATAATCATCTCACACACACTCCCCTAGAAACATTTTTCTGGCTTAAAAGACTTTCGTAGTTTTGTTTCAGAAGAATGACTTTGTTTCCTCCACAGAATCAGTTTTTTCTACACTGATATCCAAATCCATTGTGTGGCTATTAAGACAATTCTGTTTCAGCTCACTCTTCAGTTAGAAGTTCTAACTCTACCAGCCAGTGTTCTGAAAAATAACAAACACTGTGCCTAACACTGGTTTAAGGACAAGCTGTCTGCCCTGCCCTGACTGCCAAGTGCGCATCAGCTGCAAATGAGACACAGTGCTCCAAATCGAGGCTAGGTGATTCTGACACATCCCAACAGAACTCCTGTCATCCTGCAAATGTAAGGATTTACATTCTTCTCATTCATGAAAGCTAACCTAGCCTCTCTAACCCCACATGTGCCACCGTCAAAAACTCACGCACCGGGTCCTGAACATGAGGGCAGGGTCCATGTTGACTGATGCCATTCGGCCAACATGACGGATTTCTTTTGCAATCATCCTTAGCTTCTCAAAGTTGACCAGCCCATCAACTTTTGAGTCATTTCCTATAATTGACAGAAAGAACAAGAAGTTACATGGTGCTCATTCAGTGCTCCCATGAGACCCAACAGAGTCCTCCCATGCTCACCCTCATGGAGGAACGTGAGGTCCTTCTTGATGACAGGGAACAGGGGGATGACGGGAGGCTGTAAGTTCTGGCCACTGAGGACATTGCGGTACTTGGCCATATTTCTGGAAGGATCGAACAGGTCTTGCAGGTCCTGGAATAGCTTCTCGTATTTATTGGGAAGTTTTTCCCAGGTGGTTCGCAGTCTTGCCACTGGTGCAAGGTTTAGGCCACTGGGGGAGCAGAGGGAGGAGAAAAGTGAGACATGATTAAATGATCACCTCTGAAGTCAAGGAAGCCAATGGTGTATCATTTGTTTGACAGACATAAACCACCTATGTATGTGAACTTTATATGCACAGCAATTTATAGGAGGTACAGGAAGTTCTCACCATGCACCTGGGTAATGAGCAGCAGTTCAAATCAAGGTCAAGTCCAAGCCATTGGTCTTTCAAGTATTTGGGTTTTTTTGTTAGATCTTATACAGCTTTGGCTTCTCTGAAACTCACTAGAGAGCCCAGATTTGCCTCCAGTTCACAGAGCTCCACCTGCCTCCACCTCCAGCGTTCTGGGATTAAAGGCGTGTACCACCACACCCAGTCACGCCATTAGAGTTTACACTCCTTTACACTCTCTTAAAATTTTTTTACACTCATTTATTTTGTGTGTGTGTATGTGGGGGCATGTGTCCCATGGCACACATATGAAGGTCAAAGGACAAGTTGAGTAGTCACTTCTCTCTTTCTACCACATGGGATGGGGAGACTGAACTCAGGTCATCAGGTACCCTTACTGCATTAGGTACCCTGCTGGGTGAGCCATCTCCCCAGCTTCCTTGTGTACACTCTTGACCTATTTACTGTCTTCTATCATTTATATCTGAACTGGTCCCAATGACCTTTAGTGGCTTAGTCCCCAGCCCACATAATATTGTGAGGCTGTGAAGGGACTAAAGAGGAAACTAAGCTTGGCATGGTGGCAATATCTGTAATTCTAGCACTGTGGAGGCAGGAGGATCACATGTTTGAGAACAGCTGATCTACATAGCAAGACCCTATCTCTAAAAAAGTGGGAAGAGTGATTAGTAAGACAATCTACGTAATTAGGAGCCAGGAGATTCCTCCCAGTCTCTTCCTCATTCCTTTGTGGTCCAGCTACAAGGTAAACAGCTTTGTTCCACCACGTGCTTCTGATGTGCTACCTTTTCAAAGCCCAGACACATTAGGGTGATGTGACTATGGACAAAAGCTTCTAAAATTGGGAGCCAAAACAAACCTTTCTTCTTTATAAAATGATTATCTCAGGTGTTCTGTTACAATAACAGAAAGTCAAATAGCACTCCATTAACAAAAATCAATCAAAGATTAAATACTATTTTTTTTTCTATTAGGTTGGTGCAAAGTTATTGTGGTTTTTGCATTGCTGAAATTTGCTGTTTGATATTGGGATACATTCTTAAATGTGGTTATGTTATATATCATTTTAAAGCACATTTCTTTTAAAAAATACCATATTTTTTATGTGTATGATTGTTTGCTTTCATGTATGCAAGTGCACCATAGGCCAGAAGAGGGTGTTGGATCCCCTGGAACTGGAGCTATGGAAGGCTGTTAGCTGCTGTGTTGTCATGTGGATACTGGGAACGGAACCTAGGTCCTCTGGAAGAACAGCAAGTGCTCTTAACTGCTGAGGCATCCCTCCAGCATATGTCTTGTTTTATTTTTTGATATTTATTTTATATCATGGAAATATTAGACAAAAAATAGATTCGAGAGATTTCCTTATTTAACATAGGTTGCAAAGCAGTACAGACAATTTGTAGCATTAACAACAGACCTGGCTCAAGAACTGCTAATAAACGAACAGTGCTAAGATTTGCAAGGAGGCGGGAGCCCCGAAGAGGCAGAGTGTAGGGTGGTACATCAGAGTTGACAATGGTACTGAGAGCAACCAACTTAGCAAAGAACTCAAAATGGACCATTCAAGTCACCATGAGGCATTGAAGCAAATTGGAAAGGTAAGAAAGCTCAAGTGGTGCCTCAAGAACAGACTGAAGATTAAAAAAGATCACTGTTTTGACAACAGTCATTTTCTCAATCAGACTGATGTGTGACAAAAAGTGGATGACCAGCGATGCTTAGCCCAGAGGCTAAATGAAGCTCCAAAGCATTTCCTAATGCCTAACTTGTACCAAAAGTCATGGTTACTGTTTAGTGGTCCGCTGCTCTGATTCACTGCAGCTTTCTGAATTCCAATGAAACCCTTACAGCTAAGAAGTGTGCTCAGCAAGTGAATGAGACACACTGAAAACTGCAACACCTGCCACGCCAAAACTCCACAGAAAGGGCCGGATTCTCCTCCAGGATGACACCTGACCACACGCTGCACTGTCAAAGCTGAACAAAGGTTTTCCTCATCCACCATATTCATCTGGCCTCTCTCCAGCCAACTACCACTTCTTCAAGCACTTGGACAACTTTGTGCAGGGAAAAACATTTCCATAACCAGCAGGACGCAGAATATACTTTCTAAGAATCAGCTGAATCCTAAAGCATGCATTTTTATGGTACAGGAATAGACAAATATGTTTCATTGCCAAAAATACATTGATTGTAATGGTTCCTATTTTGATTGTAAAGGTGTGTTTGAGCCTAGTTATAATGATTTAAAATTCACAGTCTGCAATTCCTTTTGCACCAATCTAAGACACAAAGAACAGTGTCTGGCTTATAACAGGCATTTGATTAAAAAAAAAAAAAGCTGGGCAAATGTTCTAACATAATAAAAATTATAGTAGCTACAAGTACGAAGACTCCCAGATGGAGAGAATGACTAATAATCATTTGTAACACTGTCCCAGTTACTTTCTATTGCTGTGATAAAACACTGACTAAAAGCATCTTGGGGAGGAAAGACTTTGTTTCATCTTACATCCTAGGCATTACCAAGGCAGCAACTGGGGCAGGAACTGAAGCAGAGACCATGGAGGAGTCTGCTTGCTGACTTGCTTCCCCTAACTTGCTCAGCTACTTTCTTACACAGCCCAGGCCCACCTGCCTGGGATGGCACTGCCCAGTGGCCTGGACCCTCCCACATCAATTAACAATCAAGAAAATGCCTCACAAACATGCCCACAGACCAGTTTGGCAGAGGAAAACCCTTAATTAAAGATTTAAGCTGCCAATGTTAACTGTTCCCATTTGCATTCCCTCCAGTCCCAGTCTAAGCACAGAAAGGGAAGAAAGTTAGCACTGAACATCTGCTTTGTGCTATCTTGTACAATCCCACATACGTATCACCTAATTTTGATATTCTTTGTGAGCACTGTTATTTTATAGAGAAAGTGACTGATGTTCAGAGAAATTCAAATACTTGTCAGAGGCCAGAGTGAAAAAAGAAAAAAAGGGATGTGCTGTGGATGCAGACTATCCTTATCTACAAGTCAGCATGAGAGATTTTTTTAAACATCTAAAATTTTTTATTTATTTTTTTAATATTTTATTATTTTTATGTGTATGAGTGCATTGCTTGCATATAGGTAAGTGCACCCATGTCAGGCAATGCCCGCAAGGACAGAGAGGCCTTTGGATCCCCTGGAACTGGAGTTACAGACAGCTGTTAGCTGCCACATGGGTGCTGGGATTGGAACCCGGTGTATGTGTGTGTGTGTGTGTGTGTGTGTGTGTGTGTGTATGTGTGTATCGATGCAGATACCTGAGTGCATGTGGAGGTCAGAGGTCAACACTGGGCATCTTCCTCTATCACTCTCCACCTTAATTTCTGAGACAGAGTCTCACTACACCTGAAGCTCACCATTTCCAGTAGACTGGCTGTCCAATGAGCCCCCAGGATCTACCTGTTTTTGCCTCCCCATTACTGGGGTTACCCCAGCCACACCACTATTGGCTTTTATGTGGGTGCTGGGATCTGAACTCAGATCCTCATTCTTACATACTAAGCACTTTACCCATTGTGCTACCTCCCAGCCACCAAGAGATTTTAAATAAAGGAATAAGAAACATAGCAGTAGCGCATGGTAGCATATACCTGTAATCCTGGCACTTGGGAGGAAGAAGAAAGAGGATCCCGAGTTCCGGACCAGCTTGGGCTACCATAGAGAAATTTTGTCAACACCCCAAACCACCCTCCAGGAAAAAAAAAAAAATAAAGAATCAGAAAGAAAGAACTGCTCATTATGAGTCAATCACAGCCTAGTGTGCTTGAGGCTTTAAATGTTGCACTGAATCACACAGACAGACACACAAACACACATCAATTATGAACTGCTCCATTATGTAATGACATGATAGTCTAGATTGAGATGTTTCTAATCTGCAAATTTACCTGCATCTTAGGACAGACATGCTCTTACCTGATAATTGCAAACATTGAGTTAAAATTCTTGCATTCCCTACAGTGCAGTGCAATCTTGATGAAGTGCTTAATGATCTTCATCCTCTTCAGCTGGTTTGTCTCTCTCAGAATTTCAGAAGCCACCCAAAATGTTTCCTGGTTAATGACTTCCTCAAATTTCTTCAGGTTGGCACAGCTGGTTTTTGACTTGAGTTTAAATAAATCATCTATGTATTCAGTAGGTTCAATGTTGCGGAAGAGTTCAAAATTTCTCATTGAGAGCTGTGTGGCCACCTCCACAGTGCTGAGCTGAAGGAGGGAGATTTGGCTCTCTCGCAGTAGCTCCTGAGCATCCTCATCTGAGCACAGTGTTTCTGTTTCCATATTGTTTTTCAGATAGTACCTGTGAGAAACAAATGTGTCAGATGTCAAGCTGAGCAGCAGCAAGCCTTGTGAGTTTCCTTCCGGGGCATTGCTGCCTCTTATAGGGGGTTGGGGGTGGGTACACAGAGTGAGTGATGGAGGATTTCTCTTCACCCAGGAAGGGCAGTGCTCCAGCCAACAGGCCACAGTGTCACCTGATCACAGCATCACTAGGAGACACAATCACCTACCCAGCAGGCCGATGGAACTGAACAAACCACAGGAATCTCCTTTGTGCCAATCACGGGGTTCATTTTTCTCGTTTTAAGCCATTGAAATGATTTTACCTTTTTGCCAAAGGTGACAGAAAAGAGCTATTTTTCTGATTACACAGAGGCTCAGAACCAAAGGAAGGATGCAGGAAAGATCAGACTCAGGCCATCATTCATTTTCCCAGAGTGAACAGGGAATCTGAAAACTGCTGGGCCCACATTAGCTCAATTCAAGCTATTATTTACTCAAATGCTTAAGACACCTAAAAGCTGGGCTGGCGAGATGCCTCAGAGGGCAAAGACATCTGCTGCACAAGCTTAGAGACCTAAGTTTGATACCCAGAACCCATGTAAGGTAGAGAGGAGAGAACTGGCTCCATAAAGTTGTCCTCTGACCTCTTCATGTGTGCCATGATACATGCATTCACACAAACACATCAGGCACATGCATACATGTACATACAAATAAATAATTGAAAAACTGGAAAAAAGAGAAATATTTTCTCTATTTGATCCTAAAACAGATTTTTATTTTCATGAAACTCTCCAGAGAAATGGGGCAGGTATCACCCTGCTCTATCAGAAGAAGAAAAAGGCATCTAAAGCCCAATGGCTGGTTAATGTGGACATAACACAGAGTTAGTGTGGCTTTCTTTTTTTAAGGAACTTGCTGAAAACAGCGTTCAAATGTGTACTCTGTGGTTCCCACCACCTCTGTTCTTTTGATAGGCAGAAGCTTTCTCCAGTGAAATTCTATAAATGAAGAAATAGAACAGTCACAGCAGAGGTCCTGCTAAACTGGTCATTTGCATATCTCACAAAGACTTACAACAGAATATACCCCATCCCTTGACATTCACAGATTGCTGTTCTCCAGTGTGATTACCCATGAAACTCTGTCAGCATCCATCTGTAACTTTCTTGAATAATGAATGAATGGGAATCATGAATTTTATACTCCATGGAGATCTGTAGGACTCCACCACGACTACTGACTAACAATGTACATTCAAAGGAACCCGACCTAAAACTATTTACCAGTGTTGGGGCTGGAAAAAAAAGCAAGCACAGCAAAGAATGGCAAGAAAACACAGGTTTTGGAAGTCAGGGTTTAGATCCATATCATGTAAAAGTGAGGAACACCACCATATTCCATAAAAAACAGAAAATGTTATTTATCGATTAATTTTTATTCAGTGTATGATTAAGTTATATGACAGCAAAAGTTCAGCTACTTTTGAAGCTTTCGCTTATCTGTGATTTGGGTATAACCTAACAATGTGAATAATCACTGAAGACAATGTAAAGTACCAGGTCAATGTTTTCTTGCAAGTAATGTCTATGATACAAGCATTTATGCTACAAAGACCAAGGTCCAAGAAACAAGGTTTGGATCTAGAGTTAAGTATTTTCCACAGGTAGTATTAATAGATGCTATCAGTGAATCACACCATCGCAGACTTCTCTGTCTAAACTATGGCAGTTCTGGGGAAAGGAAGATTTGCACGGCAAACACTAGAGGATGATCAGAAGATGTGCTTGTGAATATTCATAACCAAGGAGAGCAGCTCCAGGAGTGTCCCTTGTTTCCTGCTCCAACAGCCAGGTGTGCAGCAGTTCCTACTCAAACACTGCTGTTAATACTAACCTTCAGGTCATAGTGCTCTGGACTAGGTTAAGAACTCTTCTATGATGCGCACATATTACACCCAGCTGTGTACAGTGAAGTGGGAAAACTTTCTAATTTTAACCTGCAGGGCATTTAGTCATTTACAAACCCCTAAAAGTATCCTTAAAAGATGTGGCTCAGTGGTGGAGTTCATGGTTAGGTTCAAGGCCAGGGGCTTAATCACCAGTGCTATAAAAAACAAAGTAATACACACAAAGTGTTCTCTTAGATGGCCATGTAGTTTTGAACAGGGATAAACAAATCCATTAAGGGTGGTCAAGAGCATTGGCTGCTCTTGAAGAGGACCTGAATTCAGTTCTCATCACCCACATGGCAGCTAACAACCATCCATAACTCCAGTTTCAGGGGATATAACACCCTGCTCTGGCCTCTGTAGGTACCGCATGCACATGGTACCCTTGCATACATGCAGGCAAACACTCATGCATATAAAAAATAAAAATAAATATAACACTTGAAAAAAGAAATCCAGTAAGACAGACTGTATACCTTCCACTCAGCTGTATTCTATCAGCAAGCTTGGAAAGCTGATCTGGAAGCCGTCTTTGTTTGATAACTCCCTCTGGCGTGACAGAAACCTCACACAGAGAATACTGGTCTGGGGTGGCAGTGACAGCAAACTCTCTGATGGCTTGTATGACCACTTCCTTCGCCGTGGTGTCCTTACTGATCATGATGTACCGGCTTTGCTGGTCAGCCTTGAAAACCCTGAGTACCTGATCAGGCAAGTCTGGGGGTGAGGGGTTGGGCAAGAAGAAACAAAGAAAGCAGAAGGGACATTAACAGGTGACTCCATAATTAAGCAAAGGCACATGTCATGTTGCCCCTCCCAAAAGGTGACGATAAACATTCACTTCTCCCTTCCTTACAGGAAGGAGATCCTTACTCATTCAATTCAAACATAAGTCAACTCTGACACAGACTTGGGACCTCTTCCCCTATAGATAACTGCAGCTACTAGACAAACACAAGCACATGAGCACATACATGTGAGTATGAAGAAAGCATTTTTTCTTTTTTTTTTTTTGTCTTTTTGAGACAGGGTCTCCCTGTAGCCCCAGCTGTCCTGAACTTACTATGTAGACTGGGCTGGCCTTGAACTCACAAAGATCCACCTGCCTCTGCCTCCCAAGTGCTGGGATTAAAGGCGTGTGCCACCATGCCCAGACTTATTTACAATTTACATTTAAAGTTAATCTTTATTATAAGGGGAAAAAAAAACATTAAATTGACCCAAAATATGCCTCCAAATTGATTTATTTAATATAATTTAGCAATAAATGCATGATATTCTATCCTTCATTTTATCAAAGATGAAATAGGAGCAGAGAGATTTGCCCACAGTCATAACAAAATAATTTTCAGAATATGACAAAAACTGGTCCCAATGGTTTGAATATACAGTTCATTCTGATTCTCGGTGTATGATACTGTCCACCCCAAACCACCATGAATCCATTTAGCATCACTACCACATTGGAAGGCAAGAGATCGCCAAGAAAGCAGCAAAGTTCCCTGCTTACCAGGAGTTGTGCTGAAGTCCAAAATGCGGTGATGTGACTGCAGCAGGTCGGGGTTACTGGAAGACAGGGTCCCACTAACAGGCAGGGCTGCTGGGATGTGCTTGGTCTGCCTCAGTCCTACAATGCTATCATCTTGAGACTGACCAATCCCAATATCACTGAGAAAAGAGGGTGCCAGAAAATAAATCAGCAAGGTCAAAGGCTCTAAGTCACTATAGATCATTAAATAAGCCACTTGCCTTTAAACTTGCAAGTACTATATAAATATCAATAAATGATTGAAAACCATAAGGGCCACAATGACTCAACTCATATTCAACTCAGTTCAGTATTTCTCAAATGTATAGTGGGTTTCTGTAAAGTCGATCTTTTAATGAGCCATAACTATAGCCATTATTATTTTCTCAGTATGAAAATACAGTCAAGGGGCTGGAGAGATGGTTCAGTGGTTAAGAGCACTGGCTGCTCTTGCAGAGGACCTGGGTTTGATTCCCAGCACCCATACGGCAGCTAACAACTATCCTAACTCCAGTTCCAGGGAATTCCATGCCCTCTTCTGACTTTCACGAGCATTGCATGACATGGGTGCATTTACATACATGCAGGCAGTACACTCATACACGTAAAAATAATAAAAATTTTTTAAAGAAAAAAAATACAGTCAAAGAACATGCTTGTGGTTCTGATGGGAATGAGTTTAAGAAAAAGCATATGAAAAATGTGTTTAGGCTCATTCCATCAACAACACTTCTGTATCAGAACTGAGATAGAAACTCCATTATAATTCAATCTTCAAAAACAGAAGAAAGGGGCTGGAGAGATGGCTCCATGGTTAAGAGGTTCGATTCCCAGCACCCACATGGCTGCCGTCTGTAATTCCAGTTCCAGGGGATCCAAGTCCCTTTTCTGGCCTCTGTGGGCTTTGCACAACATGGGTGCACTTACATATATGCAGGCCACACACTCATACACATTTTTTTTAAAAAAGAAGAAACTGAGTAAAAAGGAAAGAAACCCCAAACTGTCCTACTTTTATTCGTCAATGTTTTTGGGAGAAAAATGAGAATGGCACAGAGTCAAATGTTAAGGCAACCCTGAGACAGACCTGATCTCTTAATCACAGAGCATGAGAGAGCAGTGGGCATGGAGGCAGTTCCTGCTTCAGAGGAGAAGGGAAGAGGAAGCTCAGTGACTCACTTGTCTTGGCTCAAAATTTCTAGTTTTGTGTAAGCGCCCCAGAAACGTACTAGTTATTGCTGATGGCCACAAACACCTTTCTATTTACAGAAAGCTACTTCTGTGGATAGGTCATTTGCCGTTTCTGATAGGATCTTGCTACACAGCCAGGGAAAGCATTAATCTCAAGACACCCCTGCCTTTGCCTCTTGAGCTGGGATTACAGGTGTGCACCATCACACCTCACTGTGGGTAACACTTGAAACAGGACTTGACAACATATAAAATTATTTCTAGATTGAAAGATCCAGTGTTTTCAAAATAAATACAATAAAGTATGTGACACAAGAATTACTGAGCATATTCAAAATGTCTATAGTTCTAATTCCCATAAACACCTTGGAACAAGAAAGAAAATTATACTAAGATTGGGATATAAATTAAGGCATCACAAATAAAAAAATTTTAATGTGAACTCTCCCAAATACATAGAAGAGTCCAGGACAAATTTAAACTTGTTTTAATATGTATAGTTGGGCATATATATACTAAAATAATTAATGCTCTAGGAATGATTAAAAAAAAACTTCATATTGGTAGAATTTTATTTTCAATCACATAAAATAGTCTTTGCCAAAAACATCAGAGATAGTGTATGGTGTAAGACAATTGCTATGGGCCAACTCAAAGGCATGGCCACTCCTCATACAAATGCTAGATCAGGGCACTCCAGACACATTCCCTTAAAAATGTTCTTCAACCAAAATTTCAAACACCTCACACTATAAACTGTCACCACTCACCCCGCTTCTCAATGCCTCTCCTACACCTCTTGTTACCCATAGACACAAGGATATTCTTAGACGGAAACTATGCTTTATACAAAATCTGAGAAATATCCCTCTGGGGCACATCCTTGTTCAACCTTCCCAAATGGTTCACTGTTACTAAAACTGGTGTTTAGTCTTTGCTGATTTTATAGTCTGTTGACTTGTTTCTTTCTTCCTCTAGATTCATGAGGCTTTCCTTTCTTGCTTTATTTACTTGTCAGCATAATTTGAATTCTAGTGTTAGTGGCCTACCCTCTTCTTCCTCAATGCACAGCATAAATGTAGACCTTGCTACACAATAGTTCACCATTCCTATACTTTACAATTTGCCAGGATCCAGCACCTAAGCTGCTATAATATGAATAACACTGGGGGACACATAATAACTAGAACATTTCTTTAATTTACTCGTTAGTACTTTGTTTAAAAAAAATCCAAAAAAATCACAGGCTTTCAGGTATGGCTCAGTGGTACAGTGCTTAACATGCTCAAAGCCCTGTTTTATCCAAGCACTGAAACTCCAGAATGTCATAAACCCATGGTGGTATCTAGAAAAGTTTAAGTAGTAATTAGTATTAAGTCAAAACTATATTGTAATATATCCTCTGGTTTCCTGAGTCTATGTTTAAATATTATTTTTCTACTTCAGCATGATTTCTCAAACCATTTTCACAAGACAATACTTAAGTGAGAAACATATTTGTTTAAAATATTTCCCCAGTGTTTTAAAAATCAAGACATCTAATTATTATCTGTTTAATTTCCCCTTGTCTAGTTTTTCAGTATCTTTCTAAGCACACACAGCCACAATTACACACAGTATTTTCATACTACATTCCTTGCCAACAGCCCAAGCTACGGGTGGATTACAGGCCAGTTCTTCTGTGTCAGATTTCCATTAACACTTGCCAGGGTCATGCTGACTTCTGAATTTTTTTAAGGCTTGTATTTAACCTTGAAGATCTCTTTGTTATTATGTGCTAATAATTCTACATTATTTCTTCCATCCATTTAAAAATAAGTTTTTCATCAAGCAGGATCACTTAAAAATGGATTCCTATTTTCTGTAAATGCAGCTGTCCTAATCCATTGTCTCTTAGAAACTTAAGATAAACATACTCTCAAGTCTGTATTTATAGAGCATTATCTGTTGCTTATATTTAGGACTCTGCCACAAAATTTAGAAGCCACCAATTATTACTGTATAGTTCAATGAGGACAACATGAACTTGACACTATTAATAGTGTTTTAAATCATGCAATGGAAAATTTTATCTGAAACATAATGAATGAAGGACAGATAGACTTGATGTAACGTCTGTGTGTGTGTGTGTGTGTGTGTGTGTGTGCGTGTGTGTGTGTGTGTGTGTGTGTGTTCAGAGGACAGAGTCCTATGTTCACCTCTATCACTTCCACCTTATTCCTTTGAGGCAGGGTCTTTCCATGAACCTAGGTAGAGCTCACATCTTTTGGCAGCCAGCAAGCTTCAGTGATCCACCAGTCTTTGCTCATCACAGTGCTGGCGTTAAAGGCATGTGAGAGACACGCCTGGCTTGGGGCTGGGATCTGATCTTGGGTCCTCATGGTTGTGGGGCAAGCACCCTTCACCACTGAGCCATCTCTTCTAGCCCTTGATATAATCTCGAATGTGTCTATTTATTGATTCTCTCTAGACCCATTAAATTATCAAAGAAATAATCTATATCTTTTCAGTTTATAGTTTGGAGAACATATAAAAAATCTGCTGTTAGTAACTGAGCTTTATAAAACATCAGGTCCAAAATCTAAAATGAAGAAAGCAGGAAGCAAACAAGTAACACTGGAAAGTGTCAGGGACGCCTGAAGCCTGAGTTGTCTGAGTCCCTGATAGGCATACACACCCAAGACGAAATTCAAGACATGACTCGACAGTGCCTGGGGTACACCTGTGCTTGGTTACTGATCTTCCCAACAGTTAAATAACTGAAACAGAAGACTAACAGGAAAAAGAAAACAGCATCAATGTGAAGGACAACTGAAAGTAGTAATGATTCGGTGAGTCAAGAGTAGATTCTGTGGAGAGAACACTAAGAAACATGGATGCAGTAGCAAAAACAACTAAGTCACAATGCAGGCAGGAAGAAGTTCAAAGCAGACATGCCTTAATGAAAACTGGGAGTGGACAAGTAAGTGGCAAAAAAGAATTAAACTTGCTTGTTATTGCTCCTAAGAAGCTCAGCTTTGAACGAGACATTTACTAGACTCACGGCCAAACACTCTTTACATCACCACTTCCATATATCCTTTTACTTAAAACAATAAAATAGGGTAAAGATGCTTACTTGTATGGTTTCTGAGGTAAGATACTGATCCGTGTCTTGTCAAGTATCTTCTTTAGCTTGTTTCTACCCCCGACAGTGTTGGCTTTACTTTTCTTGTTTACCTTCTCCAGCCCTATCACCTGCTCTACATCTACTGCCAAATCTGGAATGGAGTAGCGACTGGCCTTTTTGATATCTCCAATTTTAGGAAGGTGAGGGGCTCCATTTCTTTTCTCTTCAGACAATCTGGTTAAAAGTTCTTTAAATACTAAAATAAAAACAGCACAAAATATCAATTACAAAACACTGAAACAAATTGAGCTAACTGTGGAGCTTGTACACAGATAAGAAGTACAGATTTTAGCTATTAAAATTAAAACCCTATTAAAACTAGTCCAAGAGGCTCATTTGTTTGCTCCTCTATCAGGATGGGCCTGAGAAAAGAGGGGCACCCTTTGATCTGCAGGCTGTGGTTGTATTAATCAACATAAGGCAGACTTGACTGATCAATAAAGTCATCTCATTATCCCTAAGTCAATGCATTTTGGTTTAAATGTAACTGCATACTTACATCATGAATTCTGTTATCATGTATTTTACCATGTCCCTAAAAAATAATCCTTGTAGATTCACTATTTATGGAAATTAATTCTTTCATGATTAAGAGTAAACCAAAAAATTTTAAAAACCTACAGAAATACCCAAATAAGAAAAAGTAAAAGTATGAAGAAATACTTACCAAATAAGTTGGTTTTCACAGTGATAGACAGATGTGTGTTATTTCTAAGGATTTCCATGGCCTTTGAAAGTTGGATATTTTCAAAATTTTGACCATTTACCTCTAATATCTAAAAATGAAGTTATAAAATTAATGTTAGTATCATCACTGACCAAAGGAAAAAACAGTTTTTGCAAACAGTGCTGAGGCAGAAACACCCTACCTGATCCCCTCGCTTCAAGCCCGCTTCAGTGGCTTTGCTGCCTGAATCAACGCTGTCCACAAAGATGCCGAAGCCCTTCTCGGAGCCTCCCAGCAAGATGAAGGGCAGAGGGGATTCCCGGGATGGCTTTGTCAGTGTCATGGACCTTCGCTTGGCTTTCGCTGCACATGCAATATTTAACAGCCTCAGATGTCCACCCATTTTCTACAGGAGATCAGGAACAAGTGTCAACTCAGACACAGGCAGAATAAGAGAAATTTAAAGCTACTCTTCAAAATTCACAAACATTACCTCTCTTTCCAGATTATTTTCAAATTCTTCTAGAAATCGAGTCATTGCAGGATCTCCTTCAAAGTCATTGAAGTGATTATTCACCCACAGTAGTACTACCCGTGTCACCTAGAAAAGTACTTAAGTTAAGTACATTTTTTTTAGTACTAAAGATTTGTGATTTAAGTTATTTTAAAATATATATAATTTCAGAGCTGGACATGGTGGCACATGCCTTTAATTCCAGCACTCAGGAGGCAGAGCCAGGCAGATCTCTGCGAGATCAAGGCCAGGCTGGGATATATATAACAAGTTCTAGGCCAGCTGGGGCTATAGGGAAACCTGCCTCAAAAAAAAAAAAGAAAAGAAAAAAAGGAAAGAGAATAAAGAAATATATATATATAAACATTTTACCTAGTAATATTACCTGGTAACAAGGAACAAGAAAATTAATAATAACCCTTACACATGGATTTTATGAATCAAAAACTATCTTACTGGGTGGAAAGATGTTCACTTGGTAAAGAACCTGCTGTGCAAACACGAGGATCTAAGTTCAGATCCACAGCATCCACATAAAAGCGAGGCACTGCAGCATGTGCCTCTAACCTCAGCATTGGGAAGGTGGAGGCAGGAGGATCCAGGGGGCTCACTGGATAGCCAGACAAGCCCAAATTGGTCAGCTCCAGGTTTAGTGAGAGACTCTGTCTCAAAAACTAAGGTGGTGGGTGATAGACGAAGAGAACCAAAGTCTACTGCTGGCCTCCACATGCACATCACACATATCTGCAATTACATGTGCACTCACATACACATACCAAAGAAAAAAGCAACCTCTTCAAAGCATGCATGTATACTTTAAGTACAGACAGATGTTGCATTGCCCTGAATCTCTGAAACTGTGGAGATATTTAACTTTACTTTATCTTATTTTATTTTCAAAACACATCTGAAAGAAGTCGCAACAAAAGCAAAAGTATGATGAAATCAAAATAGGTACAAAATCAGATAGAAACAAAAATCTAAAAGTAAAAGGGCAGGCTACATAAGGAAAGATCTGTAAAGGGAAAGAGTTGAAACTTGTACAGCTTTCATCCGCCATGACCTTGACAGAGCTCTGGAGCCTGCGGGAGGGTGAGTTCAGAACCTGGGCTTCAGCAGGTGGCAGGGCCAAGAACTGCTGTTCCAGCACTATAAAGCCTTCAACTTCCACAGGGCACGCACTGCCTACCTAACTAGTGACTGCAGAGCTCAGAACCTGGGCTTCAGCAGGTGGCAGGGCCAAGAACTGCTGTTCCAGCACTGTTAAAGCCTTCAACTTCCACAGGGCACACACTGCCTACCTAACTAGTGACTGCAGAGCCTGTCACAGCACAGCCACACATTTTGTTGTGTCTGACCACAGTCCCAACAATATTCATTGGCCTTACATTGGGGAGGGGGGCAGATGGATGGGGGGGGCATAGTTCTTGCACTGAACTTAGAAATCTGTTAAGAATTAATATTTGCGTCATTTTTTCTTTTTATATATATATTTTAAAAGGAATGTTATATTAATCTGAACATAACTGATGCCACAAATATATATAAGTTTATATTTTGGTATTTCCTATTTAGGAGCCAAGAAAGACTGTATCTCCTACCTTATCCCTGAGGCTCGGGTCATTAAACCACTCCAATAACTTTTTGCCCACTTCCATTGGGCTAGAAAGGAAAGTCCGATAGGTCAACAGGAAGTCTTCTATGAATGTTGGATCTACTACGGAATGCTCTTCCACTAAATGCATGGTTAACCTCTCTGAGGTGCCCTGTAACAAATAAAAGGTCTAGTCACCACTATGAATGATTCATTTATATATACGGCACCCCAATTTCAAACCTTTGACATAAAAGAAGCTGGGTAATAATAGAGATAATACACAAAGCAATTCATCAACTAGTAATGTTTAAGAGGTATTGTTTGTTGGGAAAGAAAGCAGGGAGCGAAGAACAAAGATTATTAATGATACATCCTGTATGCAATGCTGTAACGAAACCCACCACTTTGTATGCTAACTTAGAAAATGATTATAACAAAAGAAAATGAATTTAAGAAAAAATTCTGAGCTGCTGAAACTGATACCAGTAGAGTGCTCTCTGAGGGAAGAAGTGCCTGGAATTCTTACCTTGATGACAATATGGCCCTTCCTTGTTCCGGTCCGATCCAGTTCCCGGTGCTCTTTCACCATAACAATCTCCCCTTCCTCCTCAACTTTTTGCATGTTCTTTTCTACTTGGTTCAAAATTCGGCAGTAGTCTTGCTGGGCGATGCAGACAAACTAGAATAACACGTAAGTCACAAGTCAATGATAAAGTGCTTGCAAAAGACCTATCTGTACTAAAAATTCAGTTTTAATTATTCAATACTAGCATTTTTCCCTGTCTTTCTCCTACTTTCTAAATTAATGCAGGAATGAACCTTAATCAGGCTTCTCTGCTTTTAAAATTCATTTCTTTGGTCAAGAAAAGTTTCGATTTTTGAGTATTTATATTTTATATTCATAATCCTAACAATCTAAAAACTCAAGAGTCCTCTTTCACACCTCAACTTCAAAAACACTAGTAGAGAAAAGAGCATCCTAGGATAAACACAATAAAGCTTAACTATCATTTGGACTTACAAGTCTGAAACTGTTAAAAGAACTTCAAATACTGGCTTTAATTAAAAACATACAAATTCAAAGACTGTACATTGGAATAAGTATATAACTCTAGTAATCATATATATGAACAATAATTTTAGAAACTACTCTCATTCAAAGGTTACATATGAAGCCACATATTCATTATATTTCAAATCATTATTCCTTATAACTTGTATTAAAATAATGCTTGCTCTTAAAAAGTTAACAAGTTAACAAGAAATTATTATTCCATGGTTCAAAAAAGCATCCAAGCTTATAGTCAATCATATAAGTTTTTTTTAATTAAATTTATCTTGCGTGTATATGTGTGTGCTTTGTGCATAAGTGGGCAGGTATGCTTTGAAGGCAAGAGTGTTTTCTTCTATCACCCCTCTGACTTGTTTCCTTGACATAGGTCTCTCACTGAACCTGGAGCTCCCTGTTTTTCAGCTAGGCTGGAGGTCCTCAGGCCCCAGTTATCCTCCCGGTTTAGTCCTATACCTCAGGGCTGGGATACAGGTGCATGTGGCCATAGTCAACTTTTTACATAGATGATGGGATTCCAAACTCAGGCCCTAATCCTTGCATATCAAATGCTCTTACCGACTGAGCTCTCTCCCAAGACCTTGGTTTTATTTGGTTTGGTTTGGTTTGTGGAGGCAAGGTCTCATTCTATAGCCCAGGCTGGTCTCAAATTCTTGGCGATCTCCTGCTTCAGCCCTCCCAAACGTTCAGATTAAAGACATGGGCCAGCACACCTGGCTCAATTGGTAGTTTTCAAGAAAACTAAAAATAAATTATAGAAATAACTCACTACACAAATTAACTAGAGACTTGTGTGAAGACAAAAGCAGATGTTTCACCAAATAGAAATCACTGTCTTCCTTAAAGTTTTAGTAATTTATTCTAGTTTACAAATGGGATCCATGAAATTTTTACTTCTCTTTTAATATGATAAAGGTGAAAAGGCAGTGGTTAAATTATTCAAGCACTGAAAATTATATTTTCATAAGTATTCTATGTCTTTTAACCTGGGGAAGATAGGAACAAATGTCTATTAATCTCAGATAGGGTACCAGCAACGAACCAAAGAAAACGTTCTACTCAAGTTCAGTTTAGACTCTTAGAGGAAGATGGGTGAGGGGTTACCTATAGAAGAATGGACAATTAACCAGCTGCTACGCTACTGGAGAAAATGTTTTCCTACCTCAGAGAAGGTTAACCACTTATAGGTCCTCAAGAAGGGGCAGAGCCTCACCCCAATGAACCAATCCTAACCCCATGATCTAACATTAATGGACCAGTTTTATGCAGTTCTCCTGCAAATAGTCACAGCTGCTGAGAGAGTTCAAGAGGACAATGGTCTGGCTATGCCCAGCAGAGAGTGTTCCACAACAGGAGATTTAGTGATCTGGCTTAATGCTCATGATACTACACTACTTTTTTTTGTAAGTTGTGATAATAAATTATGCACTACTAATCTGGACTGCAGCCCTATCATATTACAGTTATGTCATGGTAACTGTACAGTGTCTCAATTATCCTAATCATATACATCATGACTCCCTTCGCCCTAGAGGACAGCCAACAGCCCACTGACTTATGTTTACATATATACAGATCAAAATCTTAAAGGAAAATAGGGTGAATTGTAAATGGTTACTTCTGACCAATGCAATCATCGACAATGCTTATTTTTCTTCAGTACAGTGCTCTGTTTCCTGTACGTTTTGCTAGAGAAGCAGAAGTTCATAAGAGAAAAAAATGTAGCAAGGACCAAGTGTTTCTTGGAACTTGCTGATATCAGCTCACTAATTCCTCTATGAAGCATTAAGAGGCAAAAAGAAAATGAAAAAAAAAAACATAGGATTTTTGCATGATATGAATAGTTCACCTCAACTGTAAAACCCCACTTCAAAACTGTGTGAGTTTTCGAAATATGTGGTCCTTCATTTTTTATTTCAAAGGTATCTTTGTTTCTTTTCAAATACAGCAAAAAGTTTCTTAAACTTGTATAGGAAATTAAGAAAGGTTTTTGTCTTCAAATAATTTTGTGGTCATTTTATTTAGTTTTAAAAGACTTAATTAAATCATCTTCTCATTTATCTTCAAAAATATATGCCTAAATTAAAATGAATAAGTAGATGGAGGAAAGAAAATATATTTTGAAGAGAAATGTACTAAAATTAATCTTCCTCATGAGAGATTTAAGGAAATGAGAATAAGTCTAATTTGAAATTCTTAGTATCTAGCAGGCATTTTGGCATTTCTTCAGCAGCAAACTAAAATATGATCCAAAAAGAAACCCAAAATATCTCAAGTTGAATTTCTAATATGGCCATACAGAATTGGTATCTAAAAAGAATAAATTTTAGCTGAAAGCATTTTTCATTTTTACTAATAACTTACTTGAAATAAGAAGTTGTAGCTCTGGCCCTACCTACCATTGCTGAGTGACAATGACATGATATCTAAGAGATGCTAAAAATTCCACCAGAAAACTCCTAGAAATTATTAACATGTTCAGTAAAGTAGTGGTTACAAAATTAATCTACAAAAGTCTGTGTAGCCTTTCTATATACCAGTAACAAGCAATTAGAGAAAGAGTACATGGAAACACTTCTCTTCAAAATAGCAGTAAAAAAAAAAAAAAATCTCGGAATAAACTTGACCAAAGACATTAAAGACCTCTACAATGAAAATTTTAGGTCTTTAAAGGAAGAGACTGAGGAAGACACCAGAAGATGGAAGGCCTCCCATGCTCATAGATTGGAAGAATTAATATTGTGAAATGACCATCTTACAAAAAGCCATTTATAGGTTCAATGCAATACCAATCAAAATCCCCATGACATTTTTCACAGAATTGGAAAAAACGATCCTAAGATTCATATGGAAGCGTACTGGCACAAAAATAGACCCATAGATCAATGGAACAAAACTGAAGACCTAAATATGAATACATGCAATTTCGGCCAGCTGATATTTGACAAAGGGA